TAGTAAAACTTCTACAATTCTCTCTCCACCTGATTTTACAAGTGATGATGCTCAAGACTCTCTTTCATTACACTCAATGCGGATAAACAATCCTGATAAAGGATCTTCATGTTCGTTGGTACAGACTTCTGCTGGATCAAGTTCTGGTACAAATGAAGAACATTTTTCTTTGCCGAATACAAAGGCTAATCAAAGTTACTCCTACAATTTTAAGAATAAAGGTATTTATTTGCGTTTACGGTTTAGATAGTTATTGTTTTGACATTCTTTGCAGATGTTTAATAGACTTTATTTTTTTAGGTGATGGCTGCAAACATTGTCACAGTGAATAGAAGTTAAGCAGCACAGTACTTCTGGAAATTAGCAAAAAATTAGATTCAGTACTGATTAACCAGGCAATCATTGTTCGGTCTGTCAATCCAGATCATGCTAAATCCATGATATCTTCTAAAATTCCATCTATTCCATTAAAAACAAAAAAGACTTTCAGAAAATGGAGACGGTTTTAGCAGCTAATCGCATCAATTATGAATCTGTGGTATGTCTTATATCATGTTATTATAATATATGTATTGTATAATGCATGTTAAAAATTTACTAGGCAATTATGATAATCACATTTCATGCCTTAACAGCGAGATCTGCTTTATTCTAAATGTGGCAGTTTTGGTACATCTTCTACTCCCTCAGAACGTAGTGTCACAGGGAACATTTTGTCCAAATTGATCTCAAATGATCTTGCCAAATTAATAAGTTGGAGTGGATCAGAAGGCGATAAGATAAAATTTTCTGAAACACAACTATGTGAAGTTGTATTTGGCAAGTATCTCGATTTTTTAAATTTATTACGTAAATCTCATAATTTTCATTCTAATTATATTAAGTTATTTTTTTAATACTTATAATATATGAAATATATATCAGTGTTTCTTTTGTTAATAATATTAATTTATTGCAATTGTTTTTGTGTATAGGTGCAGTTAAATTACGTTTTCCTGATAGCTTTCTTATTAAAGCTGAAGCAAAAATCAAGCGTTGGTTTCAAACTGCAAATGGAAGGAAAGTTAATGAGTCGCAAAATTCTGATGCCTAATAAAACCATCTCTGGCTGTACGATTGTATTATGTATACCGTTTGACATTGTTGTGCCATTGTAAGGTGTACTTTTCAACTTTTGCTTTTTCGTACCGCAACAGCCATGCTTCTTTTTGTTAGCTATCGTCATTACTGTAACCCGAATCTGAACTACACGAACAGTTTATAAGGTCTACGACCCCTCTGATGCCTGAAGTATATTATAAGTAAAGTACATATCTAGTACCTAAGTACATTATTTTTTAGTTTTTCTTATTATTTTTGAGTTATTATTTACGTTCGTTTATATATTTTCTATTCTTGGCAGAGTTGAACAATGAAAACATTATTATTTATTATATGTGCAATGTTTAGTTTTTATTACGAGATTGATGAATTTTTGTTATGTTATTGATGTTTCCAATATGGAAATTTAACAGATAAAATGTCTTTCAATATTTGTTTAACATATAACGTTTCTTTTATGCGAAGTTTACATGATTTTTGATGATACTACGATTTTTCAGTCAGTTTATGAGTTACTTTTAATTATTTTTTGTTATACGACTGATTGTGCTAGAGTTAATTTGCGTATATCTCATATGTGACAAGGTTTTGTAATGTTTCTTTTATGACTAGTATAATAGATAATAAGAGTATCCAAAAAATCTATATAGATATCTATATAGATATATATATAATATATATAATGCTCATATAAATAAAAAATATTGATAAACATTTGTAACTATTGAATTTTTTATTTAAAAGTTATTTAATTGTAATTGCATTTTATGATCAAGCAAATAAATTTAAAATACATATATTCGATTAAAAACTGCTGCTTTTAACATATTAAATGTAATTCAGTTTTAATTTTGTATTTATTTTTGTAGAGAGTAATGGATAATGTAATTGTTTATACTTTGGATGTTTTTCAGCCACAATGCGCTATATGTTACACTATGTTACTCTGTGACGTCTTTTGTTATCCAATAGAAAAGTTTGTTTTATATATAAAACAAGCTCTTCTATTGAATGACAGAAGACATCACAGAATGTAACATAGTAGTGTAACATATCATGCATCGTAGCTAAAAACATTCAAAGTATAAACAAATATATTATCCATTACAACTGCATTATTATTTTTAACCGAAAAACCCTTTGACATCAAACAGACATCAAAATGACAGTCAAAATCATCATCAAAGTATGGGACGTTTTGCAGTCAAATTGCCATCATTATGATCTCTCTTTTTGACATTATACCGTTCATCAAATTGATAACATTTTGACATCACTTTGACTAGGTAGTTTTCACTGGGAATGCAACGGACAAAATCTGATTTCCAGTAGCTAAATATCTGCAAAAATAGGTTTGATAAATGAATGAAATGTAGTAGTAGTAGTAGTAGTAGATAGTTAGTGAGTGGTTCCATGACTTGGTCCCCGACGGCACCTAGATCTAGCGAGATCCATTGTGTCTCCTCACTCTTGTCTTTAAACTGGGTGATGTGTACTCAGCCCAGAGTTCTCCACTAGGCTTATGAGTTTCACCACCCTTGTTTTGTCTAATTCTTGGGATTTTAGAAAACTTTGTCTCCAGATCCTGAATCTCTTTCTAGCCAGAGCCGGACATTGGCACAGAATATGTATGCTGTCCTCTTTTTCCTCCCCGCATAGTCGACACTCCTTCCTGTCTGCGAGTCTGATATTGAATAGGTGGGCTTTGAGTATTGGTGAATGTCCTGTCAGCAGTCCTATCCCCATTCTCAATTTCTGCCTATTTAGTGAGTAGTTCTTTGGTTCTGTTACCATTTATGTCTTTCATCAGAAAGCCTGTCGGCAGGATTTCAGATTTTCCCACCTGGCCTTATGTTGTTTGTTTATACTGTCCCTGATAAAGTTCTTGCCCATCGTAAAGGGCACTCCCACCTCCCGACTATGTGGTGCTTTGCTAGCCCCTTCTCTAGCCAGTGAGTCTGCTATTTCGTTTCCCGGTATGCCCTGATGCCCGGGTACCCAGACTAACGTTACTTTATTTGTTCCACACAGCTCCTCCAGCGCCAGCATGCAGTCCCATACCAAGTTTGACTCGGTGGTCGTACCCGCCAACGCCAGGAGGGCTGCCCTACTGTTTGAGCAGATAAATATTTTTCTGCAATTTGTTCCCTTGGTTAGGTTCAGTTCGGCACATCTGAGGATGGCGAGCATCTCTGCCATAAAGACCGTGCAGTCGCCTCCCATTAGAATACTCTCCCTATGGTTTTCCCCAATCCATATACTCCTGCTCCAAAGCAATTGTTTATGCCTGATCCGTCCGTGAACCACATGTCCACCTTTGTGTCCATGATCCCGTCCGGTTTCAGCCACTCGTTTCTATCAAGTATCCATAATTTAAAATGTTTTACCAGTTGATACTTTCTTGTGGTTCTGTCTTGTTTTCCTTCAATAGGGTACTTTTGGAGAAGACCTAGCCTGGTGTGTCCCAGTCCTGTGTTTCTCCATTCACCCTGACATTTCAGGCGGTATGCCGCGGTATTGGCTGATTTTATCACGGCCAAGCCTATTGGCGTAACACTGAGTGCTATTTCAAGCGCCTCTGTGGGTGTGGTTCTCATGGCCCCTACTGCAGCCCTTAGGTAGTTACCTTGCAGGCTTCTAAGTAGTTTCTTTACCTCTCCTTTATTTATTTTCGTCCACCAGACGACTGACGCGTATAGCAGCCGCGGCAGCAGGATCGCCCTGTACAGCCACAATGCTGCACCAGTGCTGATGCCCCACGACTTGCTCATTGCCCTTTTACACATCCACATGGATGCATAGAACTTTTTCCTTTGCTCTATGAGATGTTTTCCCCAGCTAAGCTTAGGATCTAGAATCAGTCCCAAGTATTTCACCGAGTCTGTAAACGGTATTTCCTTTCCCCAGAGTTTTAACGTCTCTATGGGTTCAGGTTTATATTTTCTGGTGAAGACCATAATATTTGTCTTGCTCGGATTTACCGTTAGACCTCTGTTCTCACACCAGTTTTGCACAATCCTTAATGTTGCGGATTTTGAAGAGAGAGAGAGAGAAAGAGAGAGAGAGAGAGAGTGTGTGTGTGGGGGAGTGTGAATGCATCACGGAGTGCATTCTTCGCCTTGAGACGAGCGCAGCTAACTGCGCTGAAACAGCCGCTCGAATTTGGCGCGACGGTTCGCGCTAAATCTCCGTGCGCCAATCGCGAGCGAGCGCGCCCCGCCATATCGCAAGATCGCGCGTGTCTTTAACGCTCGAAATACCTGTCGTTTGAACGGTGACAGGTAACCGTTTCGTCATAAAACATAACCGACGACAACAAGTGATTTTGCCCTCCGACATTCGAGAGAATTCTATCTTTATGTGGAAGGAACACAAACACGGTGTTCCTTACCTCGGAACTCTCTCGAAGGTCGGTAGGAAAACAATCACGCTGGTCCTCGTTCCTCTGATCGAACGGAGCTATCGTAGACCAGTCGTTCGCGCGCACAGACAGCTTTCCTTTTTCGCTCTTCTCGATTTTCGTCGCACTCCTCGCGGGAGATCGATTTTCTTGTCATTGGGTTGCACTTCCGGCAATCATCGAACGCTTCTAATTGCAGTTCGCTTGCATTAGAGCATTTCTTTTGTGCTGTATAATTATTTGTGAAAATATATATATTGTGTGCCGTGGACTTTCACTACTTCTCTTTTTCTTTGTGCCGTCCTAAACTTGACACTCGCGGCCGCGCACTAACTGTAATCACTCCGCGTAGCATCGAGTATTGCACATCTTCTGGTCCTTCGAGCCGGATCATCGACAGGTCGTTAATTTGTCGCGCCCGGCACCTATTGAACTTCGCCGTCGGGGTGAGTGCGGGCTCCGTGACCGTGTGAGTGTCCAGTGACCTGTGACAAAGAAAATGGACATGGATCAAATGATCGACGCTCAGCATGAGCTCTACCTACGCATACTGCGTAGCGTGGAGAACTTGAAGAAGATCGGGGCGAGCAAATTGAACGCCCACACTGTCCAGGCTGCAATCCGCGTCCTGGATGATAAATGGGCCAAATTCACGGAACAGCATGAAGAGCTCCGCGCCCACTTCTGGAAGGAGATCAAGCGGGAGAAGTACACCACCGAGGACCTCCTCAGCAAGGTTGAGACGGCGTATTATGGGCAGCGCTCCGAACTCGCCGGACTGGAGGAGCAGTTCATCGAGCCTGTGGGGCCCGCCCTCGGCGAACGGGTCCGAGAGACGGCTCCGTCCCGCCGAACGTTACCGCGGATCAACCTACCGCAGTTTAGCGGCAAGTTCGAGGACTGGCCAGCCTACCGAGATCTGTTCAGCTCCATGGTCCTAGGAGACGCGTCCTTGACAAAGGTTGAACAGCTGCATTACCTGAAAACCAGCGTAAAGGGTGATGCTGAACAGCTGATTCGCAACCTGCCGTCTACTGAAGAAAATTTAGAGGATGCGTGGGACTTGCTGACCACGTATTTCGAAAATAAACGCTTACTGGTCAGATCATACCTGACAGCCTTCACTTCGCTGCCGCGATTGAAGGCCCCGTCAGCCGATGGACTACGCCGACTGTTCCACGGCGTGCTCACGACAGTCGGTGCACTGAAGGGCATCGGGCGCCCGATCTCCGACTGCACGGACCTATTCGTCCACCTGGTCGTCGAGCTGTTGGACGCTGAAACTCGGCGTGAATGGGAGAGCTCCCTCGGAAGGTCGTCGGAGCCTCCGTCCTACGACAAGCTCCGGGAGTTCCTCCAGGAACAACTGATGACCTGGGAGGTCCTCCAGTCAGTGAAGACCGTAGCGCCTGCCAAGCCAACGGAGAAGTCCAGCCGCTCCTCTCGCAGCAGCCATGTGGGTACCAGGGGGTCTGATCCGAACCGCAGCTGTCCACTCTGCAAAAGGGATCACTTCATTGCTTATTGTGAGCAGTACAAGAAGAAGACGGTTAGCGAGAAACGGGAGGCCATCAACACTCACCAGCGGTGCTGGAACTGCCTGGGTCGTCATCTGCTAGCCGACTGTAAGTCGCACAAGGCGTGCGCCACATGCTCCGGCCGGCATCACACGACGTTGCACGACGCCTTTGCGGCTGTGGCCTTACCTGTGACTGCCTCCTCATCTTCGACGACGACGGTCCACGTCGCGAGGCGACCACCCCGGGAGTGTGGACCGGCGCTTCTGGCAACTGCCCGTGTATTCGTGGCCGACCGCGTGGGCACTCGGCATGCGGTCCGCGCGCTGATCGACCCGGGCTCAGAAACCTCGCTGATAGCGGAATCCTTAGCGCAACGACTTCGGCTCCCGCGGACCCCATCGTCAGTGGCCATCTTTGGAGTGGGAGGCATCCAAACGGGCGTCACCCACGGACGAATCACCGCCACCGTTTCCTCTCGCGATGGACACTTTGCGCTCGCCGTCTCGCCGCTCGTCTTCCCACGACTCACGGTGTACGGCGGAACCTCGGAGGGCGAGGCCCGTTCCTGGCCCCACCTCGACGGCCTCGAGCTTGCAGACCCGGAGTTCCACCGCCGGGATGCTGTGGAGTTGCTGCTTGGCGCCGATGTCTATCTGGACCTCGCTCTGCCGGAGGGCTTTCGCCGAGGAGGACCGCGCGAGCCCGGTGCCCTGTTGACTCGCTTTGGCTGGGTGCTGCTGGGCGTCGTTGGAGCCGGTCACGTCGCGACCCCCGTGTCGTCTCTCCAATGCTCCACGGGTGACGATCTGGTAGCCCTCGTACGCCGCTTCTGGGAGACCGAAGAACCTCCTCGGGCCGCCTTGCCGCTGACCGCTGACGAACAGGAGTGCGAAGATCATTTTGTGCGCACCCACGTGCGACTTGAGGACGGTCGCTATCAGGTACGACTACCGTTCCGTCCGGGGCTGCCGGACCTCAGCTCCACGCGCCGCACCGCGTCACGGCTCCTCGACGTCATGAGGCGTCGGTTCATTCACGATCGCGAATTCGGTGGACTGTATCGCGACTTCATGAACGAGTACCTGACACTCGGACACATGTCGCCTGTCTCAGCCGCGTCGCCCTCACCAGGTTCCAGAATCTGCTTCCTGCCTCACCACGGGGTGCTACGGAGCTCAAGCACGACGTCCAAGATCCGGGTGGTGTTCAACGGCTCGGCGCGTACTGGCGGCGGGTCGTCACTGAACAACAGTCTGCTCACCGGACGTAACTTGCTGCCGTCGCTAGCCGACACCTTGACTCGCTGGCGGCGACACCGCTATGTCTTTGTCGCCGACATCAAGATGATGTATCGTCAGATACAGCTGCACCGCGACGACCGGGACTTGCAGCGGATCCTGTGGACAGAGGGAGACGAGGTCAAGGAATTCCAGCTGAATACCGTGACGTACGGCCTAGCGAGCGCACCGTACCTCGCCATCCGCGTGCTCCATCAACTCGCGATCGACGAGGTTGGTCGCTTTCCGCTGGGCGCCGATGTACTGCGGCAGGATGTCTACATGGACGATGTACTCACCGGAGCCGCCACCCTGGATGCAGCGGGCGACCTCCTGGATCAGGTGGCCGCGCTCTGTACGGCGGGCGGCTTCCCGCTTAGGAAGTGGGCTGCCAACGACGATCGCCTTCTGGAAAAAATCCCGCTCGCACATCGCTTGGACGTCATGACAGGTGCCCGACTGCCGTCTGAGAGTCACTCCGTCCTGGGCCTCCGATGGAATCCGAGGGAGGATGTTCTCTCCCTCTCCGTCCGACCAACCTCAACGGCGCTACCGACGAAGAGATCGGTACTCTCGCAGACAGCACGTCTCTTCGACCCACTAGGCTGGTTGGCGCCGATCATAGTCCGTGCCAAGCTGCTCGTCCAATCAGCCTGGATACAGCAGCTAGACTGGGACGCTCCGCTGACAAGGGACGACGCCGCCGCGTGGACCCGATTGGAAGAGGAGCTGCCCTTGCTTGAGGAGATCAGGGTGCCACGCTGGTTCCAGAGTGACGCCGCAAACCACTCGCAACAGCTGCACGGATTCTGCGACGCCTCCGAACGAGCCTACGCTGCCGTGATCTACCTCAGGGGCGTGATCAACGGGCAGCCCGACGTGACCCTGGTAGTCGCTAAGACCAAGGTCGCACCGGTCAAGCGTGTATCGCTTCCCCGCCTGGAGCTTTGCGGGGCCACCCTCTTGGCTAAACTGGCCGAACACGTCCGGTCCTCCTTGGGCCTTGAAAGATCGGCGGTGCATCTTTGGACGGACTCCACAGTCACGCTCGGCTGGATCCGAGGACACCCTGCAAGATGGACAACGTTTGTAGCCAACCGAGTCGCCGAAATCCACCGAGACAACCAGGACGCAAAATGGCGGCACGTACCCGGCAGAGACAATCCAGCTGACTGCGCCTCCCGGGGGGTGTCGCCGAGGGAGCTGCTACGCCATCCGTTGTGGTGGCATGGGCCGACCTACCTCAGCGGTCATCCTGACACCTGGCCGAAGGATGTAGGATCCCAGGAAGAGACCAGCCTGCCAGAACAGCGACCACAGAAATGCCACGTGGTCAGGGAAGTGCTGGAACCTGAAGAGCTTCGCCGATTCTCCAGCCTTCGCCGGTTGCTACGCGTATCCTCCTGGATCTGGCGTTGGGCAACTCGCCAGCGCCGCCCCGCCAGCGACGCTGCTGCTCCTGACCTACTGAGGCCGGAGGAGATGGACGCCGCCCTGACTCGATGGATCCGGGTAGTCCAGGGAGCGAACTTCCACCTAGAGCTGCGGGACCTCCGTACCGGGAAATCACTGGCGACCAGAAGCTCACTCAGGAAGTTGACTCCCATGCTCGACGATGAGGGGGTCCTGCGGGTTGGCGGGCGGCTGAAACACGCTATTCTGGATGCCGACCAGCGACACCCAGTCATCCTACCACCTGAATCTCACCTCACCTACCTGGTGATCGATGCCGCTCACAGACGCACCCTGCATGGTGGAGTCCAGTCCACCGTGGGGAACATCAGGGAACGGTTTTGGATCCCACGCGCCCGTCAACTGGTGCGAAGCCACATACATCGCTGCCTACCTTGCGTACGATGGCGGGCGGCCACTCCGCAACCGAAGATGGGAGATCTGCCGAGGACGCGGGTCACACCAGGTCGACCCTTCCTTCACACCGGCGTGGACCTCGCTGGCCCAATCTGGCTCAGGACGACGAAGGGCCGCGGTCACAAAGCCCACAAGGGCTTCCTGGTAATCTTCGTATGTTTCAGCACCCGCGCCGTCCACCTGGAGGTGACCAGCGACTACTCGGCCGAAGCCTTCCTCGCCGCCTTTCGCCGGTTCGTGTCGCGTCGAGGGAGATGCACGGCCCTGTATAGCGACTGCGGCACCAATTTTGTAGGCGCGGATCGACAACTTAGGGAGCTCTTCAGGGCGGCGAGCGGCGAAGTCCACGCCCTCGTTGGCCGCCTGGCAGACGAGGGAGTTCGGTGGGTCTTCAACCCGCCGTCGGCTCCCCATTTCGGCGGCCTGTGGGAGGCGGCTGTCAAGGCCGTCAAACATCATCTGCGGCGCACCATCGGAGAGGCTAAGCTCACCTTCGAGGAGCTGTCCACACTCCTCGCGGAGGTCGAAGCCTGCCTAAACTCAAGACCCCTCGGGGCCTTGTCGGATGATCCAGACGACCTTGACGCCCTGACGCCGGGACACTTCCTGGTGGGAGGGCCTCTCCTCAGCATCCCGGAGCCGTCCCTCTTGGACACCCCTCCTAACCGTCTGAACCGGTGGCGACTTCTGCAGCAGATGCGGGATCATCTCTGGCAGCGATGGACCCGCGAATACCTGCAGGGACTCACACCACGGTCCAAGTGGTGGACCTCCCGAGGGAACATCTGCGAGGGTCAGCTGTGCCTCATCAAAGGAGAGAGCACCCCGCCGTGCCGGTGGCCGCTCGCCCGAGTTACGCGTTTACACCCGGGCGAAGATGGCCAAGTGCGCGTGGTGGACGTCCGCACCACCGTCGGTGAACTGACCCGGCCAGTGGTCAAGCTGGTCCCACTGCCGACGGTAGCCGTAGAATCCGGGACCCCCGCGTAACCGCGTGTCTCGTGCAACCTCGCGCTCAGCAATACCTGTGAAACATCGTATAAAAAAAAAAATTAGTTATAAAATTAGTCGGTTGCCTCACTATTGTCAATTGTACTGCGTTAACTCTTCTCATACTTACCTGTCTAGCATATTTTGTCGTTTGTCGCAGCTCCACTCGCTCAGCACGTGGCACATGGGACTCCTAACCTCGCCTGTCAAAACTCGCGTTCGCGCTCGACCCGCGGTCGCGACGATAACCCAGGCGACACATTATCCCTAGCAACCCTAGGGTAGTTCGTCGCGTGTACCCGACGAAGGCGGGCGGGATGTTGCGGATTTTGAAGAGAGAGAGAGAGAAGAGAGAGAGAGAGAGTGTGTGTGTGGGGGAGTGTGAATGCATCACGGAGTGCATTCTTCGCCTTGAGACGAGCGCAGCTAACTGCGCTGAAACAGCCGCTCGAATTTGGCGCGACGGTTCGCGCTAAATCTCCGTGCGCCAATCGCGAGCGAGCGCGCCCCGCCATATCGCAAGATCGCGCGTGTCTTTAACGCTCGAAATACCTGTCGTTTGAACGGTGACAGGTAACCGTTTCGTCATAAAACATAACCGACGACAACAAGTGATTTTGCCCTCCGACATTCGAGAGAATTCTATCTTTATGTGGAAGGAACACAAACACGGTGTTCCTTACCTCGGAACTCTCTCGAAGGTCGGTAGGAAAACAATCACGCTGGTCCTCGTTCCTCTGATCGAACGGAGCTATCGTAGACCAGTCGTTCGCGCGCACAGACAGCTTTCCTTTTTTCGCTCTTCTCGATTTTCGTCGCACTCCTCGCGGGAGATCGATTTTCTTGTCATTGGGTTGCACTTCCGGCAATCATCGAACGCTTCTAATTGCAGTTCGCTTGCATTAGAGCATTTCTTTTGTGCTGTATAATTATTTGTGAAAATATATATATTGTGTGCCGTGGACTTTCACTACTTCTCTTTTCTTTGTGCCGTCCTAAACTTGACACTCGCGGCCGCGCACTAACTGTAATCACTCTGCTACACCGAGTATTGCACAATTAAGGTATCCTTTGCTTGGTCCCTTAGTGTGTTGAGAAATGGTCCTCTAACCACAATGGCCACGTCATCAGCATAACCAAAGGTCGAGAAACCTTACCTCTGTAGCTCCTTTAGCAGGTCGTCTATCACTAGACACCACAACAGAGGAGATAAAACTCCCCCCTGTGGGCAGCCTTTCGTTGGTTTTCCTCTGATGGAGATATCTTGGCACTCCACCGTCAAGCATCTGTCCACTGGCATGTCTTCTATCCAGTCCACCAGTGGTTCTTGTACTCCATGTCTGATCAGTGCCTCCCCTACCACCTCGTGTAAAGTGCTATCAAAAGCGCCCTCGATGTCCAGGAAGATTCCGATCGCATAGCCCTTTGCCTTCAGCTGACTCTCAACTTTGCCTATCAGGTAATGTAGGGCGGTTTCGGTAGACCTGCCCTCCCTGTAAGCGTACTGAGAGTCGGCTAGAGGTTGTTGTATTAGAGAGTTGGACTTGAGAAATCTGTCTACCAGTCTCTCTAAGGTCTTCAATACGAAGGACATAAGGCTAATTGGTCTATAGTCCTTTGTCCTGACGTGACCGTTCTTGCCAGGTTTAGGTATAAAAACCACCTTGGTTTCTCTCCACTTCTGGGGGACATGTCTGAGGGCAATACTTGCCTTGTAGATTTTTGTCATTGGGCCTAACAAGCTGCTCAGCCCTTTCTGCAGCAGGATCGGGTATATTCCATCAGGTCCTGGAGCCTTTAAAGGCTCGAAGGAACCGACCGCCCATTCCACTGCTTGTGGATAAACCACTTTAGCTGCCAGTCCCCATGCCCTTGATTTGTGCACGGTCATGGGTCTCTGCCTGTTGTTGTTGTCTGCTGAGTCCTCCCTAAAGCCTGGGAAATGGATTTCCATAAGGTGCCGTAGGGTCTCCTCCGCAGTTTCTGTGTACCCTCTATTGGGAAACTTAAGGCAGCCCCATTGTGTTTGGTTTTCCTTGCAGAGTATTCTTCTCAGTCTAGATGCTTCAGGAGCACTCTCTATACTTGAGCAAAAACTTCTCCATCCTTTCCTTTTAGCTTTTACTATGGCCTTTTTGTAAATTCTCTGAGATTTCCTGTACTCCTCCCAGGATCTCGGTGTATTTACATTTCTAGCCCTATTAAAGAGTCTTCTCCCCTCAGCCCTTAGCTTAGCCAGCTCTTTGCTCCACCATGGTGCTTTGGCTGAAGGATTCTTTGACTCTAAAGGGCAGTTCATCTTATATGAGTATTTAATGGCATCATTCAAGTAGTCTGCCGCTGTTTCCAAATTTTCTTTGGTGTGGAATCTAGTGGGTGCTTCCTTGAGTCGACTCCTAAGGTCTTCCTCGTACCCCCTCCAATTTGTTTTTCTAGGGTTTCTCTTCCATAACCCTTGGCTCTGTACTTGCTCCATGGTGAAACGGACCTGCCTGTGGTCTGATCCTGAGGGCTCATCAGAGACCTTCCATCCTCTCAACAGATCCAATATTCCGCCAGAGCATATGGTTATATCTATCACTTCCTGTCTTCTAGAGTCCAGGAAGGTAGGTTCTGTTCCTCTATTCAGGATGTGTAGCTCCATACCTACCACAAAGTTGAATAGGCTTTCACCCCTGGGATTTATGTCGGTGCTCCCCCACACCAGGTGGTGCGAGTTGGCATCGCATCCCAGAAGTATTTCTAGCCCTTTCTGCCTTGCATAAGTCGTGAGTTTAATCACGTTTTCATGTGGGGGCAGGTTTTCCAAATCGTAGGGCATGTACACTGACCTTATAATTAGATCCCTGACTATTCCACCGGTCGTCTTTATTTTCAGTCTGATGGCAACAAAGTCACCATCGCTAAATTGTGGCAATAGACAGGCGTTTATTCCTTTCGCTATAATGCACGCTCTCGGTCGGTCCGTGTTTCCGGCCCAGAATAGTTTTCCACAGCTGCCAAGTCCTTTTATATGTCCCTTGATGATCCATGGTTCCTGTATTAAAAATATGTATTTACTTGTGTGCATCACAGCTGCGCACCTGGCTAGTACAGCCGAGGCGCATTTGCTGTGATGCAAGTTAATCTGCGTAAAGTGAATCCGGTCCGCCATATTTATGCTGACGGGTCCGGTGATTTTCCTTTGCGCCTTCCTTACTGCTTTCTCCAGCAGGCAACCTGATCGTTGCCTGCCCAAGTCCACAGTAGGGTTTAAAGTTGAGAGCTCTTAACGCCCTCAAAGCCCCATCCCCAACAAGGGCAGCGAAGTGGGTGCTCGTGGCGTCCCTACTTTCGCTACCCTTCGCGATCACCCAGTCCGGTGACTGGATGCCTACGTTCTGCCTGTCAAGTAGCTCCAACGCTTCCTTGACAGGTATTGTGGGATCCTCTACGTGCACTACGATTCGATGTCTCTTAGGGAGCTCATCGACCCGCAGTGCACGCAGTTCGATCCCATTGATCTTAATTTCTGAGGTTAGGCTTCTAAGCCACTCTTCAGTTTTCCTATTTGTGCAGTTGAAGACAACTGCCTCATCCCTATCCGAGGTGCCTCTGAAAGTAGGCGCTTTGGTACCCCTTGCTAAGCAAAGGATACGCCTCCTGACCGCTTCTTTCAGAAGCGATGCCTCGTCTTTTTCCAATCTTTTGTCAGGGTAAGCCAAGGGAACCAGGGCAACCCTTACAAGACCGGAGGTCAATTAAGCAAAAGTCCTTTGGTCAGTTACGACTTTCGGCCTTTTGCCCAACTGAGTGTTACTGGCAGAGCTGGGTGTGCTATGCTCCGATCTGAGTCGCTTTACCGCCCCAGAAGAAGCTCGCTCCCCCGTCCTTGGAGTAACTGTCGAAACAGATGTCAGTTCCGAGGTGGGCTTTGCAGCTTCCCCCTTTGCCTCCATCTGCTTCTGTTTTTTATAGCGTCGCCTTGCCGCTCCGCTATAACAAACCCTAGCGTTTGGTGGCTGGGCCTTATTTGGCTCCGCCCCCGAATTGCTCGGGCTTTCTCCTCCAGGTCGTTCGTCACCTAAGGTCACGCCCTGTAGGACTTCCGAAAAGTTATCATTCTGGCTTGTACTCATATTTGTTCTCACGAGTACCGCGGCCGCGCGGTATCACCTGGGCAGAGCCGCGAATGCCCAGGGCTTGGCTCGATACTCTCGAAGGTCGCCCGGTATCCGAGAGGCACCGTTAGCGACGTAACTCCCCTTACGCCATGCAGCCCTCAGCACGGTTGCACACACTTTAGCTTGGGGAGATTCCGCTTTGTCCGGCGCACACGGTTGCCATCTCCTGAGCGAGCGGCCTCCGCGCGCCCCCTCAAGCCCCTCCACCCGCCCCAGCAGCCGGACGAGCCAGGGGGGCCCAGGCTAGTCGGTCACACCTCTGAACGGGTGATATCCTTCCGCTCCGGACCCCCCCCCACCCCATCAGCCGCGGGATTTCGTCAAGGTGGGAACCCATCGGGGGGAAATGAATGAAATGCTAATAAAAATAATATTGCTTTACAAAGTTTATTTCACTTTTTTATTTTAGCAGTATTATTTCAATATACTATCAGTATAAAAATCTATATATGTTATATATGTAATGTTACCTATAGATTTTCAGTATGAAATAGGTTTTAAGTCTAATTCAGACTACACGCAGCAAACAGCAAGTAACGGAAGCAGCCAATACTGCTCGATGCTTGCTGCTCCAAATTCAACACTGTTGGATTTTAGGCGAGCAGTATTAGCTGTTGTTTTGATGCTTACTGCTTGCTGCGTGCAGTCTGACTTGGAGTTAAGACGTCTTTCGACATACACTGTTAGTACTAAAAATCTATCGTGAACATATATATAACATATATATAACGTGTATAAATTTTTATACTGATAGTACATTGAAATAATACGTGTAGTCTAAATTAAATAATACAAAATAAGAGGAATACCTTAAAGTTATAGCTAATCTTTGTTCGG